TTCTCCGCACAGATGTGACATTCCTCCCTAAGGTCGTGTCCCCTTTCCATGTTAATGAGGACATTGTTCTCCCTTCCCTGTGTCAGTCCCCTTCGACCCCGAGGGAAAAGGAACTGCATATGCTTGATGTGCGGAGAGCGCTACTTTGCTATAGGGACAGAACTGCCCCGTCTCGACGGTCGCAGAGGCTCTTCGTAGCATATGCTCCGGACAAAGTGGGCCTGCCGATCTCCGCACAACGTTTGTCACATTGGATTACCTCGGCCATCGAGCTATGCTACCAGCTAGCCCGACAGCAGCCGCCCTCGGTCGTCCGGGCTCGGTCGACCAGAGCTATGGCAGCTTCGACTGCTTTCCTGAAAGGGATTCCCTTGGACGCTATTTGCAAGGCGGCCATTTGGAAGAATCCCCAGACATTTGTCACCCATTACAGGTTAAACACTAGGTTTACACCTGATATGGCCTTTGGGAGAGCGGTGCTGGGTTCACAACCGCTTTAGGAACGGGGACCTTTGAGTTTGGTACCGACAAGGTGCCTTGTTTCTCCCTCGATATCGTACATTTTGAATGTCTTCTGTACTCGATATCGTGCAACTATTGGATGTGTTATTGCTGTGTTTTACTTGAAAATTGCCCTTGCTTTTCCGCGTTGCTGGAAATAAAGCTGCATCTTTACTGTTAATGCCTTGCTACCGGTAAACAGGTAGCCATTCCGTTGTAGCCTTAATGGGCCCATTATGGGTACTCTGGGTCATAAAGAAGGTCTCTGTACCTCACTATTGTGTTTTGTTCTTACTGTAATAATTGTGGCTTAACTGCCAAAGAATGTACCCTCATGATTATGAGTGCCTACAATTATCACCATGTGTTTGTTTTCAGGGGTCAAAGGTTTACTTGATTGTTGGTCACCTTTTGTGTGGCCGGGAGGATCACGTACTCCCTTAAGTTCATGCACTATGCCCTTCTTTGGAAGTGATTACTACCTCTTGTTTATGTATGGTGCCCTTCTTCGGAAGTGATTACACTCTCTTGTGTGGTAACTGTTTTTGCACTTAATAAAATTGTTTGGCCCTTGACTTTAACAGTCGGTTTGCTTTTTCCCGCCTCCGGGACCTGAGCTTGCTAGTCTCCACAAGTGTGCATTCGCAGAGACCACGAAGAAAAATGGTAGGTTACATACCTGTGACCATCTTTCTTCGAGTGGTGCTCTGCGAATTCACACTAACCCGCCCAGCCTCCCCGCAAGCAAACCTCCAATTTCTCGCTACCGTGCGGCGTAGGAATTGGAGCGGCGCCGCGGGGCGCCCTTTTATCCCCTGCCGGGGCTGGGCGGGGTTACCGCCAAAACTTAAAAGTTTCAAAAGTAGAAGTTTTCCGTTGGAGCCCGCGCAGGCGCAGACTCTCCACAAGTGTGAATTCGCAGAGCACCACTCGAAGAAAGATGGTCACAGGTATGTAACCTACCA